TTACATTACTTTACATTACATTCAGCTACCACAGACCCATCTTAAGCGTAACTAATTCAAGTTAAATAAGCAAAGTCTTAATCAAACTTTACTCAATTGTAAAGCATGTATAAAGGAAATATTTAGAATAAAGCCAATATATAAACTTCCTTTCCGTATAGACGTATTTACGTCAAATTCTCCGGAACCGTTGTTCCACTGACAACTTTTTTTTTCCTTCCGAGCTACATATGGTTCCACTGACAACTTTTTTTTCCTTCCGAGCTACATGCCTAACCTATCAAAAATTTTCTGGTTTTCCTACTACAACCAGACGAAAAACATTGTAATAAATTACATGAATGTATTCGATAAAACAATTCCCCTATCGTAACTCAGCACCTTGCGTTTATGTACACATTTAAGTACATTTCATGCAAGCCTTTTTAAACTGAATTAGCAGAGAAATATAGACTTAAGTGGTTTATAAGTCAGTCAATTAGAACAGCTGTGACCGAATCAAGTACTTGGACTGAAAAACAAACTTTCCGATGGTAGACTTCTGGGTTGTAACGCAATGTGCATTTATAAGTAGATATTAACGTTTCAGATAAACATACTGCCTCTTTCTTCAGGGCGGAAAAAAACACACGGATGTTCCCCACTCTCAAACGCGTCATGGACACGTAACCATGGCAATGCCACATGGTTCACTGCTGAAGAGCTACACTCTTACTGTAAAAGTTCAATGTCCTCCATACCTGGGGCTGACGAACTATCAGCACGCGATTTTTTCTACGTCAGTATGACGACAGACACATTACGTCATTAAAATTAATATCTCTCGTATTTAAAATCTTTTCGCTTTATTTTCATATTATAAGAGCCTTGTCGTATTTTACTAACTTATTAATTCATTCAAATTTCACCAGTTGCCTGTCAAATTTGGTGAATGTCCTTCAGACGTGTCTTTCAGACAATAAAATTGGATATGATTCATTCTGCTTGTCTTTTCTTGGATTTTATTACTTGAAATGCCCATTCCAAGTGCCACATACGTAACTACATAAGAACACTGAAGAAATGTGCACTGAGAACCTAAATGTTTCAGCACGACGGTAGGATGTCCTGTAAGGACCACGACAAACCCCAAAATAATTGAACCAGCCTGCACTTGAAGCGCACGACGGTAGGATGTCCTGTAAGGACCTCGACAAACCCCAAAATAATTGAACCAGTCTGCACTTGAAGCACTTAAATTTTTCAAAATAAGTCAAAAGCATAACCAGATAAATGATCTCAACTCTCAAGACGTCATATTTAATTCTATTTTTCCTCTTGTATACAAATTCTGCACGTTGCTAAGCTATGAAAGTCCACGCGAGCGAGACTTTGATGAAATTTTGTGTCGACATTAAATTACACTTTTATGACCAATTGTCAAAAGCGGTATTTTTTTATATGTCTGCGTCTCATTGAGTTCAATAACTGTACATTCTGCCTCTACACGCGTAATTTACTGGTCATATAAAGTGCGGTGGCCTTTCAGTACATTGGCGTAACCATATCTGTTCATATAACACGAAAGGACGAAATTTGGTCACTGCCATATCTCGATCAAGGCCCTGGCTAAAGTTAACTAGACCGAGTCTCAAATTGGGAGAAAATACAGGTCTTCCATTTAAAACACAACCTCGACAAAACATTATTTGTAAGCTTTGGTAATATCAGTAGACAAATATTTTTTATTTGGTACGAAGAACTTAAATGACAGATTTACAGGAAAAGGAGATGAGAAATTTATGAAAGGTTTGTTGGAAAACCTGGAAATAATTAGAAGACCCACACGCAGATGAGAGGATAATATTAAAATAGATCTTAAAAAATAAAGTGTAAAGGTGTGTGGAAGATGTTCATTTCGCTGTGGATGACAAGTGGCCAGATTTTGTGAACGCAGTAATGAACCATCTGGTTACACGAAAGGTGAGGATATTCTTGACTAGCTAGGCGACTGTAAGCTTTAACAGTAGGACTCTGCTCTATGGAGTTATAATTTACCGAACGCCGCGGTTTAGTGGTTTGTACCCCTGATTCATCTTCTGCCCGGAGACGACTGCTAAAAAATTTATTTAAAATAAAAATGTCAGAGTAAAAATAATAAAGCCATGTAGGATTTTAGGTTATCACGGCGGTGAGTATGAAGATTTCCGTCTTCTGGGTTATTGCGCTGTGTAGTCTGGTAGAAGTTTACCGACGTTTCAGAGGTCATACTGCCTCCGTCCTCAGAGTATGAAGATTTCTGTCTTCTGGGTTGTTGCGCCGTGTGGTATGGTAGAAGTTTACCGACGTTGCAGAGGTCATACTGCCTCCGTCATCAGAGTATGAAGATTTCCGTCTTCTGGGTTATTGCGCTGTGTAGTCTGGTAGAAGTTTACCGACGTTTCAGAGGTCATACTGCCTCCGTCCTCAGAGTATGAAGATTTCTGTCTTCTGGGTTGTTGCGCCGTGTGGTATGGTAGAAGTTTACCGACGTTGCAGAGGTCATACTGCCTCCGTCATCAGAGTATGAAGATTTCCGTCTTCTGGGTTATTGCGCTGTGTAGTCTGGTAGAAGTTTACCGACGTTTCAGAGGTCATACTGCCTCCGTCCTCAGAGTATGAAGATTTCTGTCTTCTGGGTTGTTGCGCCGTGTGGTATGGTAGAAGTTTACCGACGTTGCAGAGGTCATACTGCCTCCGTCATCAGAGTATGAAGATTTCCGTCTTCTGGGTTATTGCGCTGTGTAGTCTGGTAGAAGTTTACCGACGTTTCAGAGGTCATACTGCCTCCGTCCTCAGAGTATGAAGATTTCTGTCTTCTGGGTTGTTGCGCCGTGTGGTATGGTAGAAGTTTACCGACGTTGCAGAGGTCATACTGCCTCCGTCATCAGAGTATGAAGATTTCCGTCTTCTGGGTTATTGCGCTGTGTAGTCTGGTAGAAGTTTACCGACGTTTCAGAGGTCATACTGCCTCCGTCCTCAGAGTATGAAGATTTCTGTCTTCTGGGTTGTTGCGCCGTGTGGTATGGTAGAAGTTTACCGACGTTTCAGACGTATTTGCTGCCTCCAGCATCAGGGCGATGAGCAAGCCGCCCGAGTGGAAAAGGTTTCCTTTTTAAAGCTACAGTGACGCCTCAGAAGAAATGTCTTTGCCTTCTGCTGTAGCAGAAAGTTGAGCTCTTGAGAGGTCAATGGCAGGCACAACAGTTACTCGACCTGGATGGGTAGGTAGCGGAATCATTAGTCTTAAGCACGCAAGAGCGGCTCAACTGCAGCCTCAGGTGGAAAGGCGAGGTTGAAGAACTACAAAAAGAAATCGTCCAGACGACCTCGAGATATGACCTTCAGATTTACTTAGGAGTTCGAAGAAAGGAGACGACCGATGGAGTGGAATAGTTTCAAAACACGAAATATTAGGCTGCTCTGGTTATGTTAGGAGATTTCAATGCAAAGATAGGTGGAGAAAATATTTCAGACCGACAACGAGGGTTTCCAGATTGGAAAATCTAGTTGTCAGGAATACGTCGCTAAAATTTCAAGACTACACTTTGAATTCTCTTGATGGAAAGAGACACTGACTGATCACGTCTTGAAAGACAGAAGACGACAAGAAAACAAGTTACATTGACCACAATTTAATGGAGACAGAAGTTACAAAGATACTATCAGTAAAATAAAAGACAAGAAAATCAACGCAGATGCTTATTATGTAAGCAGACTTTATCTCAAGAAGATAAACAATGCTTAATTTAAGGGACAGTATTATACCAAAATCTCAAATACGTCAGGTAGGGTCGAAGGAGTGATGAACAGAAGAAAAGCCAATTTTCCTTTAAACCCGTCCAAAATACAGAGGGGAGCACAAATGATAAATTAGTAACTATAAAATTTAAGACAGTCGAGAGCAGTGGATGTAGCTCCATGCATTCTTCAGATCGACACTAGATGGAGGAGAGTGTTTTAGCTTCATTCCCCGGCCGTTTTAACTATTGGTTTGAATGTTCTGAAGAGAAAAATCTTGCTGTGCCAGGAATCGAACCACGGTCGTCTAGCCCGTACACTAGTCATCGTACGCACTTAACTTCTAGTTAAATTAACGTGTCTTTTTATGCAGGGATCAAAGAAGACCGAAAGTTCAGTTGTGTCGCTGTTGCACTCAGCCCAGGCAACGTGTAACTTTCAATTGCTATGATTACTGTGGCATCCGACAAATGTTTTTCATTAGTCCGATGGTTCGGACGGTCACTTTCCCAGTTTTATGCACATGAAAACCAACGTCACACGTTTTAAAAGTGAAACGAGGTCTTATACAACGCGAATTAAAATTTCGAACACGCCAAAGAGCTCGCTCTCCGTAAAAAAAGAACACGGAGATAGATTTGTCAAGAGTAATCTAGAAAAGATCAATTCTTGAATGAGAATTTGAGCAGACTTTGTATGCCTAAAAACCCAAGTAGTCCTAGAAAAAGATAAAATACTGTAATCATGGCGGCCCACAGACTCCAAATGTGGTAAAAGACACGTCCAGAAAAATTCAGTCCGTACCGAAAAGAAAACACCGCACTTAACCATTACGAAAGATCAACTTATTATCGCTGTTTTAAGGAAATAATCGCTGTTTGCATTGAAAATCATACGAAATCCATAATTACCGACTGTTAAATCACACGGTACATATAATTACCACTGAGCTGTAAAATGTAACCAAGGACCTCGACGATACTCGTTAAGGTAGCGTATCGTTTATCGTACGGACCGTGACGGGGTGATTAACAGGCTTCCGTCGCTATGTGGATATCAGCTCAGCTGACTTACCTTGGAATTCGAGGGTACCGCTAGAAAGAATTCTTCAGTCGGCCTACACCTGCCCAAGCAGTCAGACGTGTACTGTCTTCAGACCAGGACAGTTTATCTTGTTAGCTTTTATACGTATTCTTATTAACATCAAGAGAGAAAAGTGAAAACCCCTTCGCACAAAGTTATACGTAAGTTAGTGAGATCTTGTTACAAGAAGAAAAAAGTGAATTAATCGATATTTGTGTCAGTGAAAACTTTAAAGAATCTTCATTGTTGGAACGTCACACTCACTGTAAAGAGACAAATATAATTTACGTATTCTAAGAATCTAGAAGAATGTTGTTCGTATGACAAAGAAGTCACAGCTCAGACGTTTATTTCAAACTGATAAAACTATAATTAACATAAAAGTTCAACAATGGCGACGTTCATGAAGACATATTTACCTCTGTTTCGTATAGTCATTTTAGTAACAATAATGACTTTAACAAACGCGCAAAGAACCGATAATGAACACAAGGACGAAGAACCAAATCCTTTAATCGAAGCAGCGAAGGCATTGTTACAGGACCAGCTGCAAAATCAAGGGGCCGCTCAGGCTGTGACCGGTCTCTTGCAGAATTTCATGCAAACCGATGGCGGGCGGAATATAGGAGACATGTTACTGGGAGCTGCAAAATCCAACAACGGTGCAAACGCTGTGGATATATTGTCAGGCCTGGGTTCCATCTTGTCGTCAGCCACGGCAGAGCAAGGCAAGGGTAACGAAGGGGGTATTGACCCTCAATTAATCGGTCAGATGGTAAGCATGTTCGCTAGTCAAGCCATGAGTGGTCATAATGGTGATTCTGATAGTAACGTGGACATCAATAATAACGAGATAAAGTCGGGGAAGGGTAGAAAGAAAGTTGGTACTAATGATGCTGGAATTGACTGGGAATCTATGATAGGTTTGGCGTCTAATTTCATGGCTTCTCAAGGGGGTGCTGGCGGCGGGTGGGAGGGGTTATTGAATATGCTCCCAGCGCTAATTGGCGGGGGTGACGGTAGCAATGAGGTTAAAAGGTTCCATAACAAACATCAGCAACACAAATCGACGTCTTATCTACACCCATTCATGGAGACGCTGTATGATTACTGGGAACACTTCAAAAGCTCGGAGTTGGGGCAGACGGTGTGGCGGAACAGTGGACTGGAAGCAACCGCCCAGATCTTCACAGATGAGGATGGTCACTTCGAAATGGAGAGAATTTTTGGATCTCTAGAAAATGGGACCTTCCGGAGGCGTTGGATCAAGAATCTAAGCAGCTTCGTCGCGGAGTGGATATCGCATATTTCAGACCCCGCTACTCAAACAAGGTAAAGTTAGGTTTCAATAAGACGTTCTGGGAAGGGCTTATCAAAAGTCGATGCTTAAACCCTACGCAACTGTCGAAGTAGGACGGCAAAATCTAAAGTAGTAATCTCGGTCATAAATATTATCCCATAAGGTCTAAAATCCCTTGACAGCGTTATCATGGCAACGGTTATAACAACACACACATTCATAATATTATCCCATAAGGTCTAAAATCCCTTGACAGCGTTATCATGGCAACGGTTATAACAACTCACACATTCATAATATTATCCCATAAGGCTCAAAATCCCTCATCAGCAAATGTTTTCTGAAATGTCGGTAAAACTCTACCAGATTAGAACTTGCAACAACCCAGAAGACAGCCATCTTCACCGTCAATCTGGTTTCTTCATTCAAATTCTGCACTGGACGTAAAAGAAGCGGTGAGTTCTATTGGCTTTCATCTTAATGACTTTCCATGATGTCCGTTAAAATGGCGCCTACGAGCAGGGTGACAACAGCTGTTTCTGTTACCTCACGAAACGTGACTAATAACTGTTTGCATCCATCCTGTTTCCGCATGGTAGATTCCGAACCACGGTTTCTTAAGCACGCAAGAATACTGTGCGGCCAACACAGTAATTTGATAGCCAGCGTGCGTTCATAAACTACTCGAAAGTTTAATTCCTGAAACTAACTGCAATTCACGACGTAAATTTCGAAACTCGTAAGTTATAATTATTTGCGCTAAAATGTTAAAGGTAATTTTGTGTTTACTAATTTAACATTTATTATAGCACACATGGAAAGTGGTACAAGGATTTTTTGTCTTGTAGAGGAGGAGACAAATTCCAGTTATGGAGCGCAATTGCGTCGGACAGCCGATAAGGGTAGTCGTCCAATTTGTGGGCTGCTCATGGGGCTAAAATCTCCTGATCGTAAACACAGACTATCGTGTCACCAGTGATCTTTTCAGAAATAAGGCGTGGAGGTATTGACTGGTTACAAGAGACTCAAGATTTGGCCTGATGGTAGGATTTTGTGAACGTGGCCATGAACATTCGCGCTCTATACAACAGGGTATATCTTGATGAGTTGAGTAACTTTGATTTGCGAGACAAATCCTGTTCCATGGAGTGTGGGGAAAAAATGTCGTGGACTATTTTTGCCGCAACTGGGAATTTACCATCGAAATCTAAGCCCATATAATCATGCAATGCCCAAAACCACAAAATAACAGTGTCGATATTGTATTCAAGGAGTTTCCAAGCGAGCCATTTAGACTGGGGATTAGACAATTCCGAAACTGAAGGAGTACCTTCGGATTCTGACGAACTCCGCTACGATCAACAACCCATATTCAATTTGTACAATATTATACATATAAAAATTGTACTACTAATAATAACAACAGTATTCTATTACATACCTAATACAAAAAATTATAAAAAGTACAACATATGGGATATAATCTATGTATGGGCCTTGCATGGAATCTGAAACTTCCATAACCTAAATATAACATTCAGAATACAAGACTTGTACGACCATAAATCTGTAAAATATGACGCTTTATCAGTTCTGCTCGTGATTTCTCGTTTTACTTTAATTTATTAAAACAACTTGAAACTGCATCTGAAAAATATTTTTTTTAAAAAAATAATATATGTTTAGTGATATGTCACGTGCAAATATTTTCTCAGGTACCTGACAACATTGCAATTTGTCGGTAATGGATTCCTCAAAGCCCAGGGGTACCACAAGGGGCAACTGTTTGATCCAGCTCGTCCTGCCGAGTCTCTGAGTCACCTGGTGAATGCGGTCTTCAAGCGCCAATTTGGCCTCAAAGTGAATTCTGCCACCTACATCAGGCCTGCAATCGCGTACATTCAGGTAGCCGTAACAGTCTGCTTCATATCGTAAATTCAGAAGGACGTGGTCACATCTCATATAAAATTCGACAGCCAAATCAGTAATATAACTGAAGACAAGACGTAGGCTTGATAACTGGGGTTCATAGGTTGGTAGGAGTGGTGGAATTTTTCACCACCGTAAAAATACAAAATCCGCGTTAATGGGTTCCCTGTCTCCAGATATGGAGGGTGGCTGCTTGCATGCTTTCTATCAGCTGTGTCCGTTTTACAGGAGGTGTTGAAGATAGGACAAAGAAAAGGTATAAGCCTGTCACACCTCAGTTCACACGACATCGAGAACAAGCTTGCCGAGACACTGAACGGAGAGGTAATCGAACCCATGCTTCGAGTGTGGAGAGCTTACCGGTACGGTACCAGACACCCTCAGTGCGACCGCTATGTCATCTGTGCCGTGAACCAACTAGACCCGTCAGCGGATAAAGGTGCTGGCCTTAGACCAGGCATCACGAAACTTGCAAGGTACGTTCAAAAATTAATACGCCATAAATATATTACGAAATTTTTAATAAAAACGTAATTATTATATTAACTGTCTGTCCCGCCTTCGATGTGGAATAAAGAATGATTTTTGGAATTTTAGTGTGCTCCAAAAAATCTATAGGTTTTCAATCTCGTAATTTCTGACGGGCATTTCCTGATGGATGTTTTTCCTTGCAGCATAACAGCTTCATGGTTTCTGTCAAGCAATACGTCAACACCATTCTGGAAGCTGTACAGTGCTGCCACAGACGACCACAACTGTCAGGTAAGGACGTATCATAATCTCCGTGCGCTCACATCCAGATATTACTCTGACGAAAACTGTCCGCGTCACTGGATAGGGAGATACACACATGCGCGCGCGCGTGCGCAGACAAACATAACCAAAAAGATTCTACCGATATCAGAAACAACTAACAAAATGATGTACGAATTCAATTCAGTGGTTGACAAACATTATGGTGATTTTATTTCAGGTGAAGTATCCAGTGGACTGTAGTGACTACCACACAGAAGACATAAAAGCAACGACTGAGTACGCCCACAGCGAACTCTGACGATCTCAACACATTAGTCTCAAGTCTGCTGTGGAGGCGGTCGCAGAAAGCTCATTCTACAGATACCAATAAAGAAAAATGCTTCACGAAGCCTGAAAATTAAACGTCGTATGCAATGCTTAGCGTAATAAAATGGGCATTTAGTAGACTGGTACAGCGAAAGGTTAAAAGTAAAGAAAGGACCACCAACACAAACTTAAGTAAACAAATGGAAAGTGTCAACGGTAGATCGCAGAGATGGTGCTAAAACTTCATCCTCTGAAGACGTAGACGCAAGAAGTGATTATGACCAGGAATAAAGCTGAAGACGCAAATCAAGTTTAAAAACTCCAATCTGTTAAAATACAGAATTAAAGTTAAAATATTAAAAAAAAAGAATATTCATATCACTTGGGTTCTTTAAAATGGTGCACGCAAATGTGCTGCATCACTTTTTCAACTATAATTAATTCTTAGTTCTTAAAATGGACAGTTACACCAAAACTGGCATCACAGCATTTTGATGTTTTTCATTCAACTTCAGATTTTGGGGGTGAGCTGTGCCGAATGGTGAAAATTATCCATTGCTTTAAGAAACACTGCAGTCGTCATCTTAAGGATGAGTTAGCCAGGCAGTAAGCGAACAGTTGGATAGTTTTCGACAATCGACATGGTTCATCCCCAAAAGCCAATGGCGAATTCTAGCCACGAAAACCTTAGGACGCCAACGTAGATCCACGGCTGTCAACAGAAACTAACATTCTCAGACAGCGCTTCCTTATCCATTTGCTCCAGATTTTGTACGTTTCAATTATGTATAACATTACGATATGCCAAATCTCAGCAATGAAATAAAAGCATCTGTAAATTATAACTGGACTAAACTAATTTAACGCAGAGTAGAATCTTCCTCAGATGTCGGCAGTCACGTAACTCCTCGCGCAACCTACGGAATTTATCGTCGTTTGATATTTCAACCTGCTCTTCGTTATTAATCTCTTCACTGCTGTGTTATGGGCTTTAACGTACTTGGAATGTTTATAAAATTATGAGAATGCTCAAAACACCCGCACTCCCCAATTTCCTGTCCTCCCTCCCCAGACAGATGAAGATAACGAAGCTGGAAAGAGTAGAGGTAATGATTCCATACATTAATTAATAAAAATGTACGAACCATACAATTTAGCAGACTAAAAACTGAATTCTTCACACATTCGGTTTCAGATATTCTGAAGAGAATTTTTAATATCCAATATAAATTTTCATCGGAATGAAAGAAGACTTAACGAGTCATCACATCAAATAAAGTCTCAGTTCCTAAAACATCGGCATTTAATATAACCATAGATTAAAAAAAAACTTCTACATTTATGGTACACATGTAACTAACTTCCTACAAATCTGTGCATAAATCAATCTCGGCTACAAAGATACAAATTTATAGCAGTCACTTATAAAATATCACTTCAATTTATATTAATAATACTGACCCGAATGCATATCGTTGTCATAAGACGACAAAGGAGAAGCGGTTACCAATATTCTGTACCTTAAATAAAATAACATGAAATGAGGGAAATCCTGTAAGACAAATCCAAATCCAATTCAAATAAACTCCATTAAAAACAGATGACTGCTCTTACGGAATGAGTACGAGCTACACCGCCTCTCCCCTGCGCACTTAAATGATGCTTAATAGGATGGCTTACGACTGTTTTTAGGGAAACATTTACGCAATATTTAGCGGACTAAGGATTGTAAGCAACTGTGAACTTGTGACCTTACCGAAGTAGAATTAGCCGTTCTCAGTCGCCACAATAACACAGAAAACCAAGAGCGAATACAATATCTTGGAGTGCGCTGAAGTTGTTACGTCTGCCGAGAGAGAAAATGAGACAATGGCGAAAGCATTCAGCGACTCGGTTCCCCGATGATCTAAAAACGTAACGTATTATAATTAAAAGCAAATTTAAAACAATTGTTCTGAATTGCCATGTGGAAACACAGAAATTAAAATTTTGTGTTTATAATAGAAATGCAAGAAGTAAAATATAAAACAGTTCACTCTTAATACCAGACTTAATAGAAAGCATACAGCATAATTTACCATAAAACATAATACCAAAGTGGTCGCAACTGAGGCATTCAGAGCATGGCCACAAAAATCCATTCTCTGCGACACCACAAAGCTGAATCCATGCTTCGTCTTATGGCCCAGTTATCATGTTGACTGCGTGCCTGTATCACCCTGTACATTCTCATGGTTTATATGGGGTTCTGACTTGCGACTTCTT